TTAGGGGATACGTGAATCAAAGTAAGTAGATTTATACAAAATTCTTCCACATTTCGTTTCTCAGCATGAGAAGAAGCCGTCTTCATAAAGAAATATCATGAAGCCAGCTAAGCAGATGTGCGCTTATTTCTACAGCTTCTTCAAAATGGTTATACGAGCTCTTCAGAATTTCATAACCTGATCAATGTTCGCAAAAGAAGTCTAACTTTAAACGCAACTTGCTTTCTCACTTGTTTTCCTAAGGCAAGTGAAACAAAAATATTGTTTCCTCAACAAATAGCTTGGTCATCACTCACAGAAAAAGAACCTTTTGATGGATTTAGGGCTAGAGAGATTCCAACTTCATGATGAAGATCTCATATTACCCAACAAATAACATTTACAAGATGTACCAAACATAAAATTACTTTTTCGGTTTTGTTTTGTTTTCATTTTTAACAGAAAATCAAATTCAACTACTCAACGGCAACAATTTCTCACTAAAAAAGTTCATATAAGCACGATTTTAGGACGTTTGCATTAGTTTTTTCGCCCTTTGGCAGTTTAGAGATGCGAGGGAACGAAGGAGAAAAATGCATTATAAAAACGTAAACTAAAACAGAGGTGATGAGTGTGGTTTGCGATACCTATAGATGTGAGTAAAACCTGCAAGAGTTCCTACAGTTCCTATAAAGTCGACAACATCGATACAATGTTCTTAATAGCAACATGACAATCCTTTCTTTTCTACAAAAAAAGGATGACTCTAGCGAACTTAATTTGACTCGCCAACATTATCATCAAAAACATTAAATATCATAAAATAGTGCCTTGATAGATCGCATAAGAAGGGGTTGCACCGTTTGATTCGACTATTAGCTTTTTTTTGTTCCAGATGGGGGCGAACACCACTCGATGACGCCCGGACCTTCCATCATGAGGACTGCATCCGTTTCCTTCTTAAATACCATGTCCGAGCGCAGAAAAACTGCCTTCCCAATGATGGACCAGCAAGCGAAAATGGCATCGAGTATGTTTGACTTCACTATTCTCACCAGCGAATGCGAGTCCATGAGTCTTGCCCACTTACAGCAGCGAGACACTTCCCACTCTGCCTTTACAACACCAGCATCCCAAAAGAATTGCTGCTGCGGAGAACGGTTGCTTGTATGTGTGTGTGTTTCCTTCTCGATTTGAAATTAGAGCTTCAGAAATATGCGCTGCTACCTTTT